TGTTCTTCAGTAAATTTTTTTTAAAGATTGTTTCCCATGAATTCCTATGTAAAACTTTGATTGTCAATTGTGGTCCCATCCTAACCCAAGGGGTCATGATTTGAACAAACTTGAATCTACATTATGTATAATGGAGCTTTCACATTAGTTTCAACTCTTATGGCCCAGTGGTTCTTGAGAAGAAAATTTTGACAGATTTTTCCTGTAAATTCCTAATAAAACTTTGATCAACGATTGTTGCCCCACCCTACCCCTAGAGTCATGATATGAACAAACATATCTATACTATATAATGATTCACACAGAAGCTTTCGTTTAAGTTTTATCATTTCTGGCCAAGGGGTTCTTGAAAAGATTTTTGAAAGATACCATTTAATTTCCACTAATTCTTAATTATCTCCCCTTGACAGAGGCATGGTCCTTCATCTGAAGAAACTTCAATCAAATTAACCCAATAATGCTTTGTGGCAAGTTTGGTTGAAATTGGCCCAGTGGTTCTGGAGAAGATGAAAATGTTAAAAGTTTACAACAACAAGGAGATACAGACAACAGACAAATTTTTGATCAGAAAAGCTCACTTGGGCCTTTTGCTCAGGTAAGCTTAAAATGTATTCTGAGACATCAATGCGAATGCATCATGATATCACAAAAATATTTGGTCTCTTCACATAATGAGTAATCTCACTTCCATCCTGGTCACCATATATATACTTGCACAATATATACTGCAGACAACATGTAAGACCTAAGAAAGATTAAGTCATTTTTGAGCATCTGCTCTGCGATACTTAAGCATTATTTTAAGTGTGTCTAAGACTACCAACAAAAGCAGTGCTGTCATTCTCTGTGTGTTTTGATCCCTGTTCACTGCTGCCACATCAAACACTGGCTACATGCAATCTTCACCAGATCTGACATGTTGCCCTCATGATGGTAAATAGTTGTCAAAGAAAAGCAAACCACCACATGCAGAAAAAGAAAATAATAAAACACCCACTAACATGCCTTCAAAGACTCATGAATACTACAAAACCTACAGCTTTCTTCAGTCACTCACACACACAAACAAAAACTCAATTATATAGATTCAATAAAACATAAGATATTACTCTGCAAATTGTGTTGAACAAATATCAAGTAAAAATAATGTGCAATAAAAGTGGAACTGCAAACCAAAATAAATACCAAAGTTTATTGCTATGGAAAGATCAAATGCTCAAAACAACAAAATAAACATAAAACTGCTACTGAAGAAATTGCTTGAGATAACTTTTTCCCTGCATGTGCTAAACAGTATATATAGTAAATTGTATACAGTATGAGCAACATATTACATAATTATGTTCATTTTGCAAAAGTGGTATGCATAAATGACATAATATATATTATGTCAGGTGATATTATGTCAAAGACAACCCTGCGTTATGACAACAGCAAGTAGTAATGATTCAACCACAAAACAGAGGTACCAGTTCTACCAGCACTTCTCCTACACCAAAACTTATCCAAAAATTCCTTGCTTGTTTATCAATATTACCACATGTATTACATAGATACAAACAAGGCTGTTTGCTTTACTTTCTTGTACATGAGCAATGCTTTTCCCTAGCAACCTTAGTGAATACACAATGTACTCACTGAATCATTACCAGAAATATACATAAATGTCAGAGTCAAGAAAGCATTTTGTCTGAATCTAAGGGGTAGACAAAGTCGACATCTAAATGAAAATCCAGTTTTGTTGTCAAAATTTAAATGATAGGCTTTTATGGTCAAAGTCAAAAGGAAAGCAACTACTGATTTCAAGGTTTAAAGGGTAGAAATCTACTGATTTGATGGTTTAAAGGGGAGGCAACTTTCTTTGTCACAATTTTAAAAGGTAGAAAAGTTTGGCGCATCATCTTGAGGATTGACAAATTTTCTTCTTACTGGATAATAATTGTGAGGATTATACTTTCTGTCTGACAATTTACACAGAATGTTTTCTAGAGACAGCAATGGATGATTTTTTTTATAGCCATCCAAGATATATAATGGGTATTACTATGGTTGGATGAACTATGTGATATAGATTTCATTGGTTTCATCACCTGAAATTTTACTAAAGACTAACAGTTTAAAATTGAATAAATTACTGATTAAAAACTTTCTTACAGTAAAAATCCATATAAAATCCATAAATTCTTAAAGTCATCAGGAACTTGTTCACAGTTTTTTTTTTTATAAAGTCCAGATAAGATTAACACTGCCTCATTATAGTAATCCAGCTATTTCTCCATGGAAAGCATAAAGATAGGCAATCTCATTTTTATTCACTGACCTCTTAGAACTGCCGTACAATATTGACAGAGAAAGTGTTTAATTAGAAAACGGTCAGATATTCAAAGAATTTTCAGCTACTTGTTAAAGGGCCTACTTTATAAAAGGTAGTCTTTGATTTCAGAATCACAAGGTGAACAGAGGGACAATATTTTCATTGTGAAAAATCAAGCATCCTGAATATGCAAGTGTAGCACAGGCAGTGTCCAAACAGATTGTTCAGCCTAGCATTTTCAGAAAAAATTCTCATACTTCAAAAACCCTCTAGTCTGTTCACCTCTATTATAACAATGGTCTACAAGTCATAGGAGATCAAGTCACTGTGTGAGGCTACTAAAGGAGGCAGAAATGGCTGAGAAGTGTCTTCAAAAATTTGATTACAGAGTGGATGAAGTTTAAAAAACCTCTTGCCATCTGTTAATCACACATTACAAGGACGTGTCTGAGCTAACGTATACTGACAGAAAGAGTCCATTAGGGGTTTTGAAGTTTGTTTACAAACATGTGCAACATAAATGGTGTCTTTTGCCTCAGAAATCACCTCATTATTTATGACCCATACTTCCTGGCCAATCTTAATATGTTACTGAATTCTGAGCTATTTAGAAACTGAACATCAAATAAATGCTCTCACAATCTGTACATACAGGTGCCACACACAATTTCCCCTTACTCATTGTTTACACACAACTATGGAATTTCATTCACAGAAATGGGAGTAAAAAAAAGATATTTACTATTTTACATCAATTTATGTCACCTTAACTTGACTGATCACAAAGCTGGCCCATTGATCACTTAGTGATGCTTGAAAGATAGACACATTACTATCCCTGAAACATAAAGAGCTTGGCCACAAATTACCATAAAATACACCATACAGTGCCCTCTTAAAATTGCACTTAAACTTGACTGCACAAAATTTATGACTATAGTAACATCAAGAAAGAATATAAAGCAAATCATATTTACACGTGGTGTTACACAATCTGATTGTATCTAAAATTACTTTTATAATTACTTCTGACACCTAATTTTATAACTAGTAAATATATCTGCAGATGAATAATCAAAACTGGGATTTAACAAAAGCACAGTGCTTATGTATACATTTCTGTAATAAGTCTCGTAAATGCAAATGTAAGTGATCAAAAATATCAAGTTGGAAAAAAAGTCTCAGTAAATTGGATATTGAATTGGGAAAAAAAAAACATGAAGAACTATACTTGTATCACAGATGAGGAGGTAAAATTATTAATTAATTTTCTTTTATGACAATGGGACAACTGAATGAAATGTATAAGAGTGTACTGGACTTGCAATTTAACACTACATAAATTTAAAACTAAACAGTGCACTTCATTAAAAAAAAATGCTTTAAGCTTGTGAAGAGGACTGTGAAAAAGTTTTTTTTTTCAATATCTATTGTTAGAATTGCTCTTCTCACGATTTCTGAATAAAATCCAAACCTTACCATTCAAAAGAAATACAATCTACACTGTCGATCTCATAGATTTCTATAGTGTTGGTGATTTGTTGTCAAACCGCAAATTGTCCAGACGTCAACCAAAGCCCAGTCACAACAAAGTCCTGCACTAAACTGACCCTAGCTTTCTTCTGATCTGGACCATTTCAATTAAAGTTAACCTTACGTGCATGAATCTAAATATTACTTGTGCACAGTGTGTGTAGATGCATTAGAAGCCCTTACTTATACAAGCAATATCTTAACTTTAAGTCTCATTTTCTAGAATAGCCAAAAAAGACTTAAGTAAAATTGCCATAAATTTGAATATACCGGTATGTTAAAAAATGATTGATAGACTAAAAAAAAGGTCAATATGTACATAAAACACAATAATTATTAACCTTTTTTGCACTAAAAATGTCATAAAGCATCATGGAGAATTAAACTTGACAGATCTTATTAACATTTATGATGAATTCATCAGGATTACATGTAACATGTAATAGCAAAGGGTAGAAATTGTCAAATAATATTCTCCTGTGCAAGATATTGATCTACGGAAAAGTCAGGCAGGAGACTTAATAGCTTTAAACAGTACTGGCCACTACTAATAATTACTGGAAGTTAATCTTTATGCCAGGTTATTGGATTACAATCTCTAAACAATACTAATCTTCTTGTGTGTTTCATCATTTTATTTGACTCTTTGCCAGTAGTCAGAAAGTTGATATTAAAAGTTATTGTTCAAAATACTAATTCAATTATAAGTTAAACCCTCTGTGAAAGATGCTTTCTTTGTATGGCCTGATCAATGTTCCTATAGGCATTATGGATATAACTACTGACTCAAAAGTTTACAGAAATCATAGCGTGCAAGAATTCTAAACTGTGGACTTCAACCTGTTTTCTTTCAGGGCTGTTCCGTTTACAAGATACAGTCCCATGTAACAGTTACATAAAACTGCAATTGACCAAACTGGGGACTTACTTATAATTTGTAACAATCTGTACCTATTAAATAATAAAAAAAAAAACCAGAGGTAAGCCGAATCTCATGTAACCTTCTTTCTTGCTCCCTCTTAAATCATGATACTACATCTACTGTATGTATAAAAAGAAAAAATTAATCAAACATAAAATTTCTAAAAGTTGTTGGTAGATACCTGACCCCCCCCCCCCCCCCCCCCCCCCATCTCCAGAAAGAAATACCTACCTTGTACACCACAGTGAGATTCTTGGGTTCTATTTTTGTGTACATGTGAATGTTTGTAGATGTAATGAGGCAGACTTCCTGATATGGAGGGCCTAGGCTCTGAACTTGGTTCTATTAAATACTTTTCTCCTTGAAATTGAAAGGCTCCTGTCTGAAAAACAAAATGTTGTAAGATATAAATTAAATATAACAATCACCATCCAGCCAACATTAGTAAGCATGTTAAGGTAAACATAAACAGTTTTATAGGGGTATAATTCATTTTTTTCTTTCTTTTTTTCCCCAAAATTTGGTTCTTGAAAAACGGTTGATAACAAAGCATATTTTCTCCATATATGCAGTTAGTTTAATTGTTTGGTTTAAAAATAATCGGTGAATACTATCTAACAACAGTTTGACATTTCTAATTGTTGGGTTGCGAATCAACGTATTTCTTTGTACATTCGCTGTAACAAAACCCTGAGGGATTCCGTCAACTGGCATGTTGACCGAGTCATTTTTCACGTCCTTGCCGTCTCTGATGTGTTTTATGACTTCATTTCCTCCCCCTACATTTTGTGATGAATGTTTTTATAACATATGTGTGTTAAGAATGAATTACTGTGAAACTACATCGTCAAAATACGGCTGGGAAATATTGTCCTTTCGTCTGCGACTGGAAGTCCCAAAGACGCCATGTTTAGCGGGTCACGTGTCAAAATCGAGTGGTCACATGATAAGTCTATGTGCAAAGAAGTTACTGGTGCTGGATTATTAATTAAATACCCGCTTATACAAGCATTTAATTGCTTTTTACTTTATACAGTTTTACACGAGCACCACTATCTGAGCTGTCTCTGGATTGGAGAAGCAAATATAGGCCTAATCACAGAATTGTAGAATCAATGAGTAAAGGCTATTTCGTGACATATAGGCCCTAGGTTCTGACTGATTGGGAGGGCATCTACATCTATTAAAGGAGCGATTAATGTATATGGTAAATTGATTATTGCTGCTGATAAACACGCGTCGTAAAGAAAGTAATGGAGAGGAGAAAACTAAATTATATGTTTCTGGTGTATGTTCTTTCAATTGCATGCTCACTCTAGGTATATTGGTACATCTAATTACCAGTGATTTGCAACCATAAAATTTCGCTGATCTCCAAAGAGATCGCTGTTGTTTGTACACTATACATGGCCATAGGCATAAATTACATAATGTGATTTATACCCGTATACATTCAATATTTTCATTTGATCAGAAGATGAATCAAGGCCTTGATTGGCAAATATTGACCTTATTTTTCCTCTTGAGTCTTTTCAAGTTGCCGAAAAACAAACTTGACTCTTGTGTCGGTCAAACAATATTTCTACAGTGGTCACAAAACGAACAAAGTGCAAGAGTGCAACCCCCAAAGATTCTGTTTGCTCTCTGCGATACTATGGTTCCATTTTTTGGTCGCAGTCCCTTTCACGTAACACTGATAACATCTGTTAGTGACTCCCTAAACTTCACCATTTGCTTTAGTGGTCTAATGTACAATATTAAGAATACATTACGTATCTTTTTAAATTGTGTCATATGCACGTGTACATGGGGTTATAAAAGTTTTTTTTTTTCGGAGTGGGGTGAGGTGGGGGTGTAGGTTCTCATTCCGTTGCATTTCGGAATGGAGATATCTAGTACTAAAGTGATATTTCTCTTCATATTTCATGATGTTTCGGAGTGAGAAAAAGAGGGAGAGAGATTCTTACTTATAACAATTTACAGGTGTTTCTGATCACTTAAGGAATCTGTGTTTGTAAATCGGTTAGGATTCGTGGGTTCTCATTAATTTCCGTTTGCCTACAATCGTGGTCATTTGTATAATTTTGTACCAAGTCTTGCACCGATTCGCTTAAGTCGATCTTTGTTTATATTACAACTGACGAGTGTACACCATAACCCTATTTCTGCTGAATCGTCTGGTTTCTTACTAAAGATACACTGAGAAAAGAGAGGTCAATTTTTATATTACTTGAAAAGCATTCTGATGAAGCAAAATGATTACATACATAAGGTGTAATTCACTGTAAATCTGGCCATTAAATGGTTGCTTAACAAAACCATGTTTCTTTTTAATAGGATTTTTGTCCTCCATTGGACAGACCATTTCTAGCTTTTATTCATGTTTGAAGAGTTTTGCACCGGCAGGACCTACATATTTAAATGTTGACAGTGAACACTTTGTTGCCATATCATATCGTTCTCTGCTTATGTACGTCATCTGAGTCTACCCTCAATAATCAGCAGCTTACCTGTATGTCCTCTCTCTCTCTCTCCTTATGGTAACGTGTTCTTGAATTTTTATATTTTTCCTTCTTGCTTAAGTATTCATTCTCACAATATCAGGGGTACACTCGTGTACGTTCGTTTTTTTTTTGTTTGTTTGTTTGTTTTTTTTTGTTTTTATTTTTTTTTAGGTGGGGAGGGGGCAATTTTAAGAATGTAATCAGAACCCCTGACGCGTTGTGAGGCTGTTATGTATAATGCTTAATTTATCAAATTTTCTCAATGTCCTCAGTGCTTCCCGACCTAATCTTCTTTCGAAGTTCTCAAGATATGACAAATCTTCTGTTTAAATAGTATCGACTACTTTGACCTCAATACCGACAAAAAAAGTCACAGCTTGCAACTTTTACTGTATTGATGTTCTCTTGCATCTCGGCATGATAAATATAAACTTATATGAGTTAAGGCGATGTTAGGTTTTCATATGTTTCACCTCGGGACGTCGAACTAATTATGTGATTATTTGGTCATTACGACGCGCAGCCTAAGCGATGGAGTGATGTAATGAACTGATTGGCAGGCATCAGCGGACAAGCTTCCAGACGTCTGCTCTGTTAATACAGCAGACGACATAATGTGTTACTAGGTTGTCGCGCGTGTCTCCTCCCCCATTCCTACTAGGTTTTTTTTTTCTGTTATAAGAGTGAGAAAATGCAGGTTATGGTGTATTGGTTGTCTCGGTTATCGCGTTCAATGCTCATCTTTTTGCAAACGGAACTTTGCCAAGATTAGCACTTAGGGGAATGTTTCAGCTGATGGTGTAGATTTTTTGCTGATTCAATATAGTATAAGCGTGTACGGTAATACTAGCTGATGGACAACTTCGAGTCAGAAAAGAGGGTATACTGCACGCGATGATTGATGCCTACGGAAGATGTCGCTAGGTCGAGGTGGGAGGTGGGTTGGGGTTTACTATAAATTAAAGTGTTCTATGGCTAGTACTTACCAGGCCCTCACACAGGCTGAATACAGCCCTCGAATTTAAATCTTGGTTAATCCGACCAGTATAGAAACACCGTGACAGTCCAACATTCTCATGGCTCTCATTAAACCATGTATTATTTCTAGAAAAATATTGCACTACTAATGTCGGTGCTATAAACTCCTTGGTAAAAGAAAGGTCCAGAGAAAAATTTCTCCCAAAGGCTGAGAGCACATACTGAACATTTGAATCAAAATTTTGCACATAACTAGAACTTCTTTTTGATATAAAATGTGTAGTGTGAGCATTTCCATGCCGCCCGATTCGCGCCGGATAGACTACTTCTCGTAAACCTGAAATAAGTAAAGTAAGACATTTTATGAATTGCAAGTCGTATTTTTAAATATAAGTTATTATTATTATTTTTTTTTTTTGTAATTGATAAATTAATATCCAGAGAACATACCTGCACTATCACCCTCACGATTTTGCTTTTGGCCATAAATTAGCATTGGAACAAATAGCAAATAATGAATTTGATATAAAAGTTTAAATGCCATTGTTTTTTCATTGTTTCCCTTTTAATTCCATCGGTTTGTCTTCTCACTCTAAACCTTAGCAAACGCGATCAAGTAAGTAGTGAAATACCATGTGCCTTTTGTACGGCTCCGCAGGTCACGCCCCCTTTCCCAACGTTGAGCCAATCAGTGGCTGTGACGTCCTCTAGTCTTGCCACATGAATGACAATTTTTTCCTACTCAATGATTGTGTGTATTTGTAGTATAAACAAATCTTACAAAGAAGGTCAACGACTGTCAATTGTTTAATTTATTTAAACTCCAAAAAGAATTTTATTCAACGTTTGGGTCCACGACCATTCAATTTTATCTATTGAATTATTAATCACTGGGTATTTAAAAGTACCTTTTATGAAATTTATGCAAATAATTCTCAGAATTACGTCTAATGAACAGCTCTGTACACTTCAAAGAGACAAAAATTCTCTTTTTATCTTTCCAATTAGCAGGCAGTTGAGAGTGTACATTGAAAGGGGAATAATCCATTTTTACACACAAAAATTGTGATATGACCTAATTTAATATTACTGACATTTTAATTATCAATTTAATTAAAATTTCTCGTTCTTTACTGTAGAACTTCACGATTATATTACGGATTTATGTTGAGAATGAGTCTAGTGCGTATATAAGTCTATATACAGGACATAGGCTACTAACAAACATGTTACATTAAAATTTTAAACTTACAATCTATAACTATCTTTATTATTATTTATAAAATGGAAACTTAATTTAGGTTTACATAAGTAGAATGAAGATTAGCTGCATAAAGTTTCATTTTTTTCCAAAGTTCAAGGTTTCTGAACAATGCCCTATAAACTGATATCAATTGTATAGATTTGCAAGGGTGATTGCTTTAAGTTATAATTTTGAATATCACAGTGAGTTTACAATGTCTTCACATTTTAGGAATTTTATATCCGACTTCTTGCTTGTAGCAAGTGCGTGTCTTTAAATTATAGCGGGCACCTGCTTGAAGATTCAATATCAAAGATATCAATTTAGAAGTCGTACTTTAATTAGTGACTTGTATCCATTATTTCAAAGAGGGTTTAGTACAATCTCAGCATCGGATGTAAAAAAAATAATTTGATGACCTGCTTCGAAAAGGGGGATGGGGGGGGCAAAACGATGCTGAAACTAGAAAACAACATCAATATATATATATTCCCTCTTAAATTCATACAACTGCATAGACCTCTTTACGGGTCAAGAGGGGCAACTCTCTCTCTCTCTCTCTCTCTCTCTCTCTCTCTCTCTCTCTCTCAGTAAGACTACATATATTGTTTACAGTATTTGGAATGTTTTAGTTTTAATGTAATAACAGTATAAACAATGTCGAAAATTGTTTCCCATAAACTTTTACAATAGCACTCACATGGATATTACCTTGTCTTTTGTTGTTTTATACTTACTCATTGTTTGTGTCCTTGATACACTCAGATCGACCCTGGTGTAGATGGTGCCTGGTCAATGCCAGGAAAACCACAAAACGGCCATTCATTGCTTTGGCACCCCTTATCCTCCACGCACATGCTGATAGATCTGACGTAACTATTCAGTTTATTGACTTTTTTATCCTTCTTAATCTAAAAAAATTTCGTGGTCTTTTACACAAACAATAAAAAAAAGTGCTCACTATCAGAGATACATGTATTTCTCTTACTCTCATTTTTTTTTAAATCATTGATAATGCCAATTGCGTAATGATCGAGTGTATACATGTGTTTACTTGTAAACAAAACACTTATGAACCCTGTGATTTTTCTGGTGCAGTTTCATGGAAGTTATATTTAATTGCTTCTGTATATTACAAATATTTGCACTGTATTATTTAATCCCCAAGAGCGCAAGTGTACAAGTGTGCCCGAATTTTTCTCTTGTTTACAAACATTCTCCCCTCCTTATTTATTGATTTAAATAAAATCATAAATCACTTTAAACCCCCGACGAACCAATTTAAAATTTGTTGTAAGTGTGTGTCGCAGCGACCGGGATTTGGTGAGGCAATATACCCCTGTAATGCACTAGTTTTCCTAACGTCATCGTTTGGTACCCCCACGAAGTGTGGACGTTGTATGGGTGCGTCATGTTTTTGATTGCAGTGACTTCCGGGTATCTGTATTTTTATTACCTCCTTATTATGACCACCTTATATAGTGAGAAGGTGTGGGGTTGTCTGGAAAACACAAAATATATATATATAGTCAGAAAGAGATGTCAGAGTTACATGTATGGTCGTCATAGGGGTTCACAATGACCTTGATCTTTGACACTTACCTCTATCATAACGATACCATCTTCAAGGTTTATGCCTAAAAAAAAGAAAAAAAAAGATTTTCATGATCTTACGTGTGTCCCAATTCTTCCTTCAGTAAAGAGAAAATTCAAAACTGATCCTATTACAATATCAATATATATTAAATATCAGATACTTTGCCAAGCAGGAACAATTTTTATTATGGTTTCAATGTGCATTTTTTAATAATAAGCATACTTTAAAATCATGCTCCTTACAATGATATATAATACCGCGGGTAGGATTTTTTTTCATGAAACTTTTATTTTACGTTATTTTTAGGAATTTCCATATGGAATGCATTCTAAATGTGTGCTAGAAGTGTAATTTATGAAAAATATCCTTGGACCCGGGGTGTATATATTTTTTTGGGAGGGGGGTCCTATCCACAAGCACTTGTGAAATGACCTAGTTGTGTTGCCTTTGGTATAATGCTATAAGCTGTCTGGAGCACAGGCCTTTAAATCCGACTCTAAAAAAAAAATGGAGATGTATAAGAAAGATATTTTTTAACACCCCAAATTTTTGTAAGTCGGATTAAAGCGATCTAAAGGCCTGTGGTCTGGAGCTTAAAATTGACCACTCCAGCTTATGATTTAATCTGGGATTGACGATTGTATTTATTTATTTATTTATTTATTTATTTATTTATTTATTTATTTATTTATTTATTTATTTATTTATTTATTGTTTCTATTAAAATTGTTACATCGAATGTTTCACATTGACTTAATGGTAATACTCAGTATTAGTTTTATTTTTCTTAATTCAATGCTTGAATTGCACATGAATATGTTCACCTTGATTGTAGGCTACAGAGGCGTAATCACAAACTTGCAAGAGGGATGGGACGGGGTGGGGCCTCAATCGAGTATAAAAAATGTCTCCCAGTTATACGATTGTTGAAAATTAGATATACGAAGGTTGAAAAGTAAACTCACAACTGCTATAAAACCTTTAGTAATATCAAATGTTATCAACAAATATAAAATTTGACATACTTATACTCCTATCTATTTTGATTTTCGCTTTAAAATTTCATTCGATTGCATGTATATAAAATACTTTTTAAAATATTAAAGATAATCACAACGTTAGCTAGGTTTTTGCCTTTCGCCGCATGCACGGCAAGAATATTACCGTCGTCGTTAATAATACCGTCGTTGACGTTTCGTTTTAGTTCATCAGCATATCCTTTTAATCTCTCACGTGCTTCTTTTCAATAATTTTTTACGGCTGTTTTGCTAAAAACCATCTTGTTTTGAGTTGTAGCATTAAAATTATTGGAAGTTTGTCCAAATAATATTTCTGAAATCATTTCTTTTTGCATAAATCTTAGGTACTTCCATCAGATTCAAAATTAGTGTCCATGAGAAACGTCATTCCGACGTCGGTGCGGCGATAGACGAGACCCAAAGTCATGTTTACTAGTATTCTAATATTTTATGAAGTATTGCATATATCTGAATCAAACTGGGGGAGGGGGCCCGGAGGCCGTGCCCCCAATAATTGAGTTAATTTTGAAGAATTTTTGATAACTGATGACTTTTTAATTTTTTTTTTATTTTTTGCTTGTCAGGGAATTTTTTGTAGTGCCCCATCAGCTGAAAATGTATGGTTGTGCCCCCCCCCCCCCAAACTGAAATTGCTTCCTACGGGCCTGTGAAAAGGCACAAGTCAAAATAGATAGAGGTATTATTATATACAGTTTTGTTGAAAACTTTCGATTGTTAAAGATTTTATAGCAGTTGTGTCATTACTTTTTGGTCAAGCCTCGAAGAATTTACGAATGATGTGATTAATATTGAAGATTAGATGGAAGAGTTACGCGCGTTATTGTCATGTGTCAAAAGTCAGATAATGCAGAAAAAATATCGTTTTTATAATTTGGTGATTTTTAAAATTTTCAAGTTTAATAACAGAAGCTGACAGGGGGGAGAGTGCTGTCCAAAGTTAGTTTGATGCATCTTATTGCTCTGTTAATTATTAGGACCACGCATGAAATGCAGGGGTCCTACAAGAATCACATTGTCATCTGTCTGTCAACACTTGTTGTGACGCGATAGCTAATTTTGTACAGCAGTACTTTACTTAAAGAGCAAAACACCTACATAATGTATAGATTTTGGGATATCACTTTGTCTGTATGTCAGTTGTGTGTCTGTATGTGTATCCATGACACTTTTGTGGTGATGCTACATTGTATAATTTAAACAGCTTTCAACGCAATGTTTTCAAATTTTGTACAGAAGTACTTTACTATAATAGAATTTGGGGACATATCACTTTGCCTGTCTGTCTGCATGCCTGAATGTAGATCCATCGTTACATATAACTTGAACAATTTTCATCGTAACTTTTTCAGATTTTATACAGGAAGAGTTCACCATGGGGTAAACATCAGTTAATTTTAATATCCGTTTGTCCATGCGTACACCTTTCAGTCAACACTTTTATTCTTTTACTGTGACTGTACGACCTCATCGTAATATAATATACTTTTTAAAAAAGTTTTACCATTTGTTTTACTGAGCGGTCAAAAAAAAAAAAAAAAGCTAGATAAGACCGCTTAGTGAGATGTTGGACTTGGTCAATTCCGTAACTGCCAAATATCAATGATCGAATGCAAACAAGATATAAATGATCCTGACTACAGTTTGACTTAAAATAAAATCACAGCGGTCCAACATCTCACGGACAGGTCCAACATCTAACCCAGCTGTCCAACATCTTTTTTTTTTTACCACTCAGTAAAACATTAGGTTTGGTATATAGACCTTGTCTTTAAGTATAGATTTACAAAGGAAACAATTTTTAAAGGTATACCATATATAACATTGTATATAAATACTTACAGTTAGAGATAATATTAATTTTGCCGAAATATAAAATACTAGCTACTACATATGCTTGTGCCCCTCAATAATCTGATGACTTTTTTTTGGCTTAATTGCCAAGAAATTTTTGGAAGTTGATAGTGCCCCCCTCCAACTGAAAGTGTAGGCTTGCACCCCCCCCCCCCCAATTGAAATTGCTTTCTACGGGCCTGCATGTAACAAGATACACATGTAAAAGTTCGAATTCATTGTAACAATTTATACAACAGCATGAGTTCATTATGAGAAAAGAAGAGACATTTTGTGATCATACGGGTTTGTCTCTCTGCATGTTGGCATATATGTATGTCTATTGTGATATATTTGGAACGAAGCGTTACTGTAATTAATATAAAAGAGACAATATATCCTTAAAGCATAAACGCAGATCTGGCTTTTTTAAATATTAGGGGTGGAGAAGATTTTTTGGAGAGGTTAAAATTGAATCAAGGTGATCGGCATTAAGGACCCCCTATACACTGCAAAATGTTTTTGGACATTGAGAAAATTATATTGTATAAAGGTGTAAATTTTAAATTTATCCATATAATTTTCGATGTATGGTACGTGGCATTTACCCCCAGGAAAAATGTTCAAAGACGACGAATTATCAATGAACAGAAATCACAGTTACGCATTTACTTCAGTGGATAAAATATATACAAATGAAGTGTCCTGTTAATTTATCTTGGCCTTTGTATAATGTTAAGAATGCTTGATTTGATTACAAATTGAAAAAATACACTGTCAATTTCTATTTATTGGAATTAAGATCTAAGAGCAGATCACTCTAACTGCAGAAAAACAACTCTTTAGTGTTCAGTGTAAAGAGGGTTCTTAATACAGAAAAAAAATGCGGAACAAGAGAGATAACTTTTAAATGTATCATGTTTTAAATTTAAAGGATGGGAGTAACAAAGTCAGACACACCTGGCGATTAATAGCTATATAAAATATATGTATATAGTACTATATGCACGTTTTACCTTTAAAAATTATTTCCTTAATTTATAAAACTATACTAAACGAAGGGTTTAATCGGAATGGCGAGTTCGAGAACTGTATTGTTTTCCAATAATTATTTCGAAATATTATTTGGAAAAATATGAGAATTTCGCACTTCTGAAACTTGAAATTTTCTGAAAGTTAATACTTTAAATGCAACACCATTTATTACGTAAAAATAAAATAAAGAATTATTCAATAAGATCCTCTTTAACTTAAAAATCAATATATATATATATATATATATATATATATATATATATATATATATATATATATATATATATATATATATATATATATATATATATATATATATATATATATATATATATATATATATATATATTTTCTTTTCGGGTGATTCATGATTAGTTTATATACATAGTCGTCAGAAAGGAAAATGTAGTTTTGAAGTGAAATATTTGTTATCTGAGTAGGGCAGAGGTCTTGACCCCCTCCCCCCCATGATATTGTTATTGAAATTTATATAGCCCCCCCCCCCCCCCGAAACAGGCATTCCCTTGTAAGATATATTATATATGAAGGAAAGCGCCTTGTCTTTGAGAAGTGCCCCCTCCCCCCTTCATATTTTTTTTACTTGTCAAAAAATTGTTGGTTTCGATCGATCCAACCTTGAACTGTCCCTCCCCCGTCTGAAATTCCACCACTGATAAATTCTATTTTTATTCTTTATTTCCCTTTTTTTTTTATTGCATCCCCATCTGTATTGTGTAAAACAACATTTAAATTCTACTAATTTGCATGTACTGCATGTGGATTGTATATAAAGTTTAATATTGGAATCAAATACAATTAACATATAATACAAATCTGAAACATTTTAGAATTAATATACAAGGTGTTTTAAACAACACAAATTGTGCGTGTACAATAAACATGTAGATAACGAATGGAAAGTATACACACTTAGAAACAGTGGCGGATTCGTGAATTTCATGCCTGGCAGGGGGTCTGAGGGCTGCTGTTGAAGCCCCCAGTGTATCCAGGGCAAAGAGGTGTTCAGTTTCCCCGGCCTTAATTTTAGGATAATGGACATGCAAGTTTTACATTCCTATAAAACAAATCAAACGGGGAGGGGTTTTGCGCTGGATCTGCCTTTGAGAAATTATAGAATACAAGTAGGAAATATACAAATCAACTGATCAAGAGAGCTGCTGCCGAATGGCGATCAAGGTTTTGAATTACACTAGACTAACCAGTGCTAACAGTATCATGGCCGTAGGAACCGGGGGAGGGGGGGGGGGCTCATGTGTGGCTGTGCCCCCTCAAACTGAAATTGCTTCCTACGGGCCTGAGTATGTCAATCATTCAATATCGACATTTGGGTATAACCTATTCCAGAAATAGATTATCATTTCTCCTTCCCTTCTCTACATTTTCTCATAAAGTTATCATGTTTATAGGTCTTTAAAAATCTTGAAGGGAGGGATAATGATATGACTGAAAGTAAATTGAGGAAGGAATTATGTGAGACGCTTTCAAGAGAAAAAGGACGGGAAAACTCTCATAAATTAGGTATACTGAATGCATGAATATGGACTTTGTTTTCCGATTAAAGTAGTGATGTGGAGTCTAACAATTCTGCAATGATTTTTTTAGGATCAAATTTCGCGCCACAGTAGCGGAAATAGAATTCATAAAACTCTGCGCATCAGGATGCGCACAGCGGTTAAACCCTCACTTCGATGGAGGACGCCTTGAAAAATTCAGGTAAATAACGCCACTTTTACTTAGGTTAGAGATGTGTGGCGTAATTGTAATTAATACAGGAATATTAAGTGGTGATTAGAAAATGCTATGATGTCAAATTTATCAATATATATCCATGATTCTCAAATATACATGCTGGTTAAGTGTTAGCCTGTCGTTTTTCATTGTTCGCTAAATCGACCATGGCTTGTTGCTTGCGCCCGTTTTGTGCGTGTCGACGCAGGCTTAGGTGATATCTCGTTGCGGTGTAGTGCGCGCTTGGCAGAATTGATTTTACTTGGTGTACATTTGTCGTTTCATTTCGAAAAATGTACGCTAAGGCACTAGTCAAGGATGGAAATCCTTGCCGGGGATTCTCTTTCTGCAGAAAACACGGGTTGTGATCTATAAATAGAACCAGTGTTTACTTCCTGTGAGATTTTGTCGGATGATCATCCGACAGGAAACTCTTTTGATGGCTTTTGATGGATTTCCTGTCCAAGTGTATTCCAACAAGCATCCCCATTTCTTTGTTCCGAGAGATTGAGAGGGCCTTTGTTAGCATTTCTAGTGATAAAACACGCAGGTTAAAGGTTTTACCAATAATCAATACTTACTGATTATGTATCATGTGTGGCAGCTGTGTTTGTTTGTCACTGAATGGTGAGCCATCATGTTGCAGGGCTCTGCAGGTTAAATGTGGCATCTGTTGTTCAATATAAACATTGGCAAGTTATAGTTCACTGGGAGCTAGTGTGAACATTGTATGCATTGGATTAATAATATGTTCACAAGACACTAAGTACCAGGGCACAGCTGGAGGATCATTTGTATTCATTTACTGTGAAGGCAAATTGTGATTGATTTGATTGATTTCTTAGCTAAAGCTTTTGTAAGTCCTTACCTAAACTTGAACAAGAAAAATATCAGCTGTCAGAAATTATTATATAAAAAATATTTTTTCACATCATCTGAATTTTTTGTAGGCTATGAAGAGGAATGATATATTACTCACTTCAAGATGGTCTATGATTTTGATGTAAAGGAGTTTTGTCAAAACTTGAAGGCAACTAAGCCTCCGTATGAGTGCCCAGTAAGATCATGTGGAAAAATCTACAAAAGCTACTGTGGAATTCAGTTTCATTTATACAACTTTGATCATGACAATCCAGAAAATAACTCCCCTTCTCCAGGGAAGAAACCAGGAAAGAAAAAGACCAAGTGGGGCCATCACAGGTCCATGCGGCGGTCCCCTACACCACCAGAATTTGTTGTTCCACAACGAAGAGAAACTCTTACATATGCTGAGGCTCAGAGACTTGTTGAGATTGATTTAGAGGGTAGACTTCACAGAATTAATATCTATGAACCGCTTGAAATCATCACTCAGGATGAGATTGACAACCACCACAACACGGAAAAAGAGGAAAAAGCAGAGAAAACTCCGCTAAAGACAAAAGTTAGTGAAACACAGAAAACTCGCAAGGAGCAACCACCCCAGGGTCAATCTACAGTTAAATTACCAGAGGCTCAGTACAAAGTCATAGATGATTACATTAAACCCAATAAGATCTCAAATAGACAGAATTCATACTATCGCTATATTGAGAAGTCTTCAGAGGAGCTGGATGAGGAAGTAGAGTATGACATGGATGAAGAGGTAAAATTAAAGTGTATTTGTCATTTAAACAAGAGTGTAAAGAAATAGATTATCATTGAAAATCATTATACCTTATATAAGAATTTGTTTCAATTATTTAAAGGATCATGCCTGGTTAGAAATCCTGAACAAAAGTAGGAAAGAAGACGGCATTGTTCAGGTTAAACAGGAAGACTTTGAGTTGCTGATGGACAGATTTGAGAAAGAGGCCTTCTTCCAGAGTCAAACTTCAGGAAAGGACCTAGGCCCTTCTATAGATGAGGATGCAGTGTGCAATATTTGTCAAGATGGTGAATGCCAGAACAGTAATGTGATCTTATTTTGTGACATGTGTAATTTAGCAGTACATCAGGAGTGCTATGGTGTACCATATATTCCAGAGGGACAATGGCTATGTCGGAGGTGTTTACAATCCCCATCTAGAGCCGTGGACTGTTGTCTGTGTCCAAACAAAGGTGGGGCATTCAAGCAGACAGATGATGGCCGTTGGGCGCATGTTGTGTGTGCTTTATGGATTCCTGAAGTCGGGTTTGCAAATACAGTGTTTTTAGAACCTATAGATAGTTTTGATAATATACCACCAGCCCGGTGGAAATTATCGTGTTACATATGTAAGCAACGAGGTACGGGGGCATGTATTCAGTGTCACAAAACAAACTGTTATACAGCATTTCATGTTACTTGTGCTCAGCAAGCAGGACTTTACATGAAAATTGAACCTATCAAAGAATCTAGTGCTAGTGGATTAACTGTGAGTGTAAGAAAGACAGTGTATTGTGATGTTCATACGCCGGCCGATTCCGACTGTATGCCCTGTCTCACTGGGGCTGACAGCTCGGAAGATGACAATAAGTCTGCTTCAGCTAAAAAGGCCAAGGAAAAGTCCAAATTAAAAATGAAAAAAGCCCGTAAAATCTTAGCAGAGAAACGCAATGCTCTTCCTGTTGTTTCTATACCCATTATTCCACAATCAAGGTATGTATAAATCTGTATGGATGTAATGTGTCAAAAATTCCCCTGAGTGTCCAAAGATACTAACTTAACAATATCCATAGCTTGAATGATAATTAAAGATTCTCTGGAATATATGCACCAGGTCATCCAAATTTTTTTTAAAAAGTGGATTTCCTTAATTTTTATACATTAAGTGAACATAGATTTAGGCCGTGATTGTACACACATGATTTCAGTGTGTAATAGCTTCTATTTCTTTGTTATAGGTTGTCCAAAATTACCAACATGATCAGCATACCTAAGAAGCAGCCATTCCTGACTAAGTTGTTGAGTTACTGGACATTAAAGAGGCAGTCCAGAAATGGAGTGCCTCTACTGAGGAGATTACAGTCAAATCACATGACCAGGAACAAACATGAGGTAGAAAATCTCTTAAGTGCTCTACTGCCTAGGAGTAACACTCCACAAATGATTTTTTTGTATTATATCCAAGATTTATTATTTTGTATGGCATATTTATTTTTTATCTGTATGCTAAAGTTGTAAAAAAAAATGTAATTTTGAAAAAAAAATCATTGTCTACTCTTTGAAGACCAAAAATGACAAACAGAGTAATGCCCTAAAGGAGCAGCTAAAGTACTGGCAGAGGTTACGACAGGATCTAGAGAAAGCTAGACTTCTGGTGGAACTGATCAGGAAGCGAGAAAAACTCAAGAGGGAGCAGGTATTAAAATCAGGAGCTACAGTGTTAAACAGTAATGGATCTAAAAATATAAATGTTTTTATATTTGTTCTATTCTAAAAGAAAAATATCTGTGTAATTATTTGTTCTGAGAAATGCTGAAAGTTGACAATATGTGTATTTTTCTTTCATTATAGTTAAAGGTACATCAAATGGCTATGGAGTTGCAGCTTCAGCCATTTGCTGTGTTATTGCGCTCAACTCTTGAGCAACTAGTGGAGAAAGATTCCTCCAATTTTTTCACAGAACCGGTGTCACTGGATGAGGTGATATGATTTATTTTAACGTATTTTAAGGTTTAATTTGTTATTAACAATGTAAAAGGGCTTTTTCGGAGTTGTTTGTGGGAGAGGAAAGGGGATACACTTCCACAGCATTTTTCTGGTGTTGGATTGCATTATTATTCATATCGATGGACGGTCATTGTCAGAATTTTGAAATAAGAAGTGGGTGGTTTTTCAGAATTTACCAAATAAAGTGGTCATTTACAGGAGTTTAAGTTATAAACATTAGTAATCTATAAACCTGAAAAGAAGGTATCGTCTTATTGTTTAAATACATTTTAATTTATTTTTTTGGATGTACGAAGGGGAGTTACTCAAAATAGGCAATATGAAAGTAGAAATAAGGCAATACTAGCTGTTTTGCCAAAGAAGAAAAGTAGCCCAACACAAAAAGCCTGCATGTGATAAAGGGTGGCTTAAGGAAGGGGGATGGAGGGAGATACACATTTTTTTTTTCATGCAATATTTCTTGAACATTATGTCTACAGCTAACTCTGGAAAAGTCTCCTGATACAACTGTGCATAATATAATCTTTGTAACCCTTGAGACTAATTGAATATATCATATTTTTCTGTTACACTATATAATACAAAAATTTCTCTTGCAGGTTCCAGATTATCTTGAGTACATAGATAAACCAATGGACTTTGAGACCATGCGAACAAACATTGACAGTCACAAGTATCGCACAATGGATGAGTTTGAGTCAGATTTTGACCAGATCATTAGGAATTGTATGAAGTATAATGCCAAAGACACAGTGTTCTATAGAGCAGCTGTCAAACTTAGGGATCAGGTGTGCTGACAATGTGGTTTAATTCAATTTTTTTTACTTTTCTTCCTGTCGTAGATCTCAGAATTGTAATTCAGAAAAGTTATATGGTATAACAGGTTTATTTTATAATAATCCAATTTCCACTTTCTTTGCTATAATTTTTAGATTGCAAAAAATAAATTTGCATAAAATTGTCATCAGTTTTGTACCATAAAGTTTGCAAAGATAACGCTAATATACCACTGGGAAAATCAGAAAAATAGGACTATGCAAATTAAAAATAACAGCATTTGGATTATTTGCACAGAAGTTTCTGCATGCAGGAAAAAACAGATATTGGATGCTTTGTAGTGATTGAAATAGAATTTTCTCAAGTCATTTTTTTTTGTAAAACAGGAATGAGTATGAAGTGGAATTAAGTTGACATAGGAATGCACTGATTAATGAACAGTTTACTGGTAGTAAAAATATTTATTATACTATAGGGTGGGGCTGTTATCCGGACTGCCAGGCGTACAGCAGAAAGGGTGGGATATGACCCTGCCACCGGTCTACACATGGAGCAAGTGCCAACAGTCCCAGAACCTGTTGTCTTAGAGGACAGTAAGTAATCAAATGTTGGAAACCTCTTTCAGTTTTAATGGACAACAGTTTCTAATAGGAGAGTGAATACAGTTCCTGAAACCTTATGTTATTTTCCTTTGTAGTTCAGTAAGTTAGTTTTCAAGGTGTCAGGGATTTTCTATTGCTGAAAATTTTAGCAGATTTTTTAATTGAAAGCAAAACAAATTAATTTTCTGTTCAACAGTTGATAGTTTCTTAGAAGACACGAAAGATGGCATGCCTCTTGAAGAACAACTTAGGATATTGCTTGACAAGATGGACATGGCGAATTCCTCTAGAAAACCAGGTGTGTCATAAATAATGATTATTTGCATCATATCAGTCTGAATTCAATCTGAATTAATAAAAAAAGAATTCTGACCATTCTTTAAAAAAAATCTTGATGTTCCTGAACTTTTTCCCTTGGTGATAAATAGAATTCTTTTGATCTTAAAACATATCTACAATTTATTTGATTATTACAGGTAAATCTAAGCTAGCCAGGAGGATAAGGAAGGAGATAGTTAAGGTGCGGAGGAAGTTAGCCATTCAGAAAGGTCAGCAAGCCAGTGACCTAGATGACATGGCCGAGACTGGTGAGTTATCAACACCTTGTTTTATGAATGGTGAATTACAGTTAAACTTCGGTATATCAAGCACGGATATCTCGAATACTATGGATATAAGTGATTTTGAAGTCCCAAGTGCATAATTCTTAAGTATTTTACCCTGGATATCTTGAATCCTCAGATATCTTGAAGTATATTGTTGGTCCCGTGAAGTTAGAGATAACGAGGTTTGACTGTAGTTTTTACTGACTCCAAGATAACTTAGTATTAGGAAATTTGATGCTTAAAAAAATCCTTAGGGTAAAAAAATTTGTAATACTTTGATATACTGAAAATAGAGAATTAAAGGAGCATCTAACTGGTTTTGAATAAATTGAGATAAGGGAAAATTTTGTGTGTTTCAGTATATGTCTTGAACTACGAGGTAGGTAAATAATGGGATGTAACTCTTTTAAATACTAAGTACAGACTCTCAGGAGTGCACTGTAATCTTGTATTGATTTTACGACAGCTTCAGACAACAATGATGAATCAGCAGAGGACGGACCAGATCTCTCACACACACCCAAACCTCAAAAATCAGCAGACAAGTCCACTCCAAAGGGATCTACCAAAGACGCTCCAACAAGAGGGAGAGGCAGAGGAAGGGGGCGTGGTCAACCGGGACGGCCCAGGAAAGTTCGTAATGATTCTGAAAGCGAGTCTCCATTAGTAGGAGCTAGACTAATTGGTGTGTATACATATGGTGGCCGTTAAAAGATTGTCTATAAATTGTTTTCTTTGTGATAAAGATCTTTTGACAAGCTAAGTAAAGAGATGTAGTGGAATTGATTATTACTATAGAAAAGTCAAGCTATTTGAAAGACGAAAATCTTCATTTTTCTGCATTTGTTTGAAATAATAAGAAGAAAATTATTTTGTGAAAAGGACAGATTGTTTTTCATATTTTACAGAAAAGAGAAGGTCATCTGATAGCTCAAGGACAACAGAATCCTCAAGTACCTCCTCCAAAGACAGCACCTCCTCCCATCCAACACAAAGCGGTGTAAACAGACGGACCTCTGTGTTGTTTGGCAAGAAGAACTTCCGCAACAATAAGAATGATAGCTCTGCTCCTAGTTCTCCAGGGACACCAACTCAACCTTCTACTCCACCCCGCAGGAATTCCAAAGGTGGCCGCCCTTCAAAGCAGAAGGGGGACCATACTGACTCCCCACAGCCTCCAGTCCTGGAGCCAATGACGTCAGGTCGCTCCTCCTCCAGAGGACCAGCTAGTCCTAAAAGTCCTGGTGTCAGGAAACGCTCAGCTAGTGCAATTACCTCCCCTGATAGAGAATCTAGACCAACTCCACCGAAAAGAACCACTTCCCTAAGTGAGCCCCTGTCATTCTCTGACCCACCAGACATCACAAAGAGGGATAGTTTTCGCTACTACCGAGGTCCAGACAATTTACGCAGTTCATCAGAGTCGGACAGCACCTCTGTGATTAGTTCCAGTGACGAGTCTCTAACAGACAGCTCTCTTGGAAGTTCCAGTTCTAACAGTCGATCAGGTAAAATAAATATCATACTCAGTAGTTAAGAAAATGACAGGAATGCACACACAGTTAGGGAATGCACAGTATGTATTGTTCAGTATTTGTGTTAGCACATAGTTCAAGTTGGTCATGTTGCAGTTGACCTTAGGGGTCAAGGGAAAGGTAGGAATTCCATTGTTGATATATGTCTTGTTAATTCTTTTCAAGTTGCACTTGTATAAGTAATAAGGCTTTTAATGTGTCACTATTTACTGGATTTTTTTTTTAATCATGATTATGTGGCCAGTACAAAGCATCTTTCTGGAATTGTGGCAAAAAAAAGGGGGGGGGGAATCATATGCATAGTTTATATATATATATGTACGTGTATATGTATATCAGCTATACGGTGTTATTTATCATACTTTGAATTGCACTTCTGATTTTGGGTTTTAAGAAGTGAAAAAGTAAAATCAATCAAATTTTATATAATTCTTGGTTATTATGTCAGATGCTTTGTGCTTTTCCCCTCTGCTTGTGTTCTTGTATGCTCTTGGTTCAGCATGTTATACTCATGCTTGGTGCGTGCTTTTTTCATTGCTGGTTCTAGAAATAAATTCAAATGGACTCCCCAAATTATCTGAGGAGGGAACGGAGAGCG